GTGTTTTTTGCAAAAACAAAATGTGTATCTAAGCATAAGGTTGTACTTTTTGTTGTTAAAAAAAAAAAGTCTGAACAGATGGGAAGTAGTTTGAAGGAATTAGAGGAAATTTTGATGGAGTGTCATGTGAAGAACCGGACAACAATCAAGTTCCGACATAATATGAAAAGATTGCACTGTTACATAAAAATGCGTATTTACAAAAGAAAGATTATGCAAATTTAGGTTTTAGGAATACTTCAGTAATAACTGTGTGGTATTGCTTTAGTAGGATCACATCCATCAAAGAGCTAGACTTTCTGTGCCAGTGGAGTGGGGTTTTAACCGGTTGGCTGTTATTTAAATGTTCACTGTGTGTCATCTATAAATGATGTTAATGTACAGAGTTTATATAATAATTGACAGTCATCACTTTGATGTAATTAAACTCTGAAACTTGCTATATAATCGGCATAGAAGCCTACCAGCAAACTAGTAGTCTTGATTTACGTACGTTTTGCTGAAAGCACTTTTGTCCAAATGCCATACATTCTATAAGTACATTTGTACTTCTCAAATTGATTTCACACCTTTTATTGTTTTCCTCAATTTTTGTTATGTGAAGCAACTTCAATATTGTGAAACTTGTAAATGACTTTCAGAAGACTTTTCTTACATACGTAATTTGGTTTGGTTGACATAACCTGAGAAAAGCACTCAATCACTTGTTTTCGCAAGAAGTGGGTAAAAAGATAGTTAGATTGATTGATGCTTCATTTAATTCTGATTTTAAATTGACATAAAATCACTTAATTAATTTGCCATTTAAAAGTGCCCTACAGCCTCTGCAATCACAGAATAATGATTCAGAAATGACTGTTTGGCTGTCTGTGACTTATCATAATTAACTGTCTTCTCAGCATAAAACATAAAAAGGAGCATAGTAAAATATTTTATATTCTAATGTGCTGCATAATATTGTCTCACCCAGAAATAGTATGAAATGTATCTGACATTTCACTGTGAGAGAAGTTTTTCAGCTGCTCTCTGGTTTGATTTTTTTTTAGGGGGAGATTTTTCTTTAAATGTGTTCCTGTGTGTGGCTGAGCCCTAACAGCTTAGTGCTGAAAATACAGAAAGTCGTCTTTTTGGGAGTTTACTGATTGATTTAAATGTTGTGATCCTGTTTTGTTTTGTAACATCACTGAAGCTGAAAAAATGGTGTAGAAAGACCCGGCAATGCAAACAAATTTCTTGTTATCTGGTGGGGTGTATCTTCTGGATGCCATTAAAGTAGAAGAAAGTTTCGACGTTGCTGTAATCCCACTGTTGCTTTTTAAACGTGGTTTCCAAACGCCTAATATTTTTTCACTAGAATATCACCATAAGCTGACATAATATCATGTGCTCTTCTTTTATCTTCTGAAGCTTGAATTTTATGATTTAAAATGTACTTTAGTCACTTAAGGAAGAGTGATATTTTATGCTGTTTTCTATGGGAAACAAGCTTTGCAGAAATTATTTAATGGAATATAGGAGAGTTCTTTTGAAATAATTTGAATGGTTACTGTAAAGTATTCTGTCCGTTACTGGAAAACAACTTCACATATACATCCTGTGACTTACATAATTCATTGACAACATTTGGTGCAATGTGAATGTGGCATTAAGATTCTTGCAGCATTCAACTTCAAGTGGCGATCCAGCAATGGTGTAGACTAAGGATATATACTATGATGAGAAAAGCACATCTGTAAAACTGTTGTGCCTTGGTTATTAGTGCTAGGATTTGAACTATCTTTAATCTCATTTGACTTGTTCATCTTCCTTAAGGATCTCCATAAAGATGCACTGAGTATTCTTTTCAGTCCTTAGTTAGGGTTTGCATCAGTGGTCGTAAACCTGCTTAGCGGACAAAGACTCTTTTCCCTTTGAAGTCACTTCCCCAGCTTTTCAAAAGGTCTGCAAGCTGGTTCCCCTAAAACAATTTAGAAAAGTTTGAAGTGGTGCCCCTTAAACCAGCAACAAAATAAAATTTTCTCTTTGCATTATTGAAAACCATGACAATCTTCTGAAGCAATAACAGTTTAAAAGCTTTTAAAGAAATCTGTTCTGCTCTACGACCAGCTTTTAAGTTGACCCCATTATTTGGAAAATCAGAGGCTTGGAAACCCCTAAATACTTGACATTCTTATCAAAGGAGTCTGCCTGACTTTTCACAGGACTCTTCTTTTACAGTATTTATTCAGGTCCTCATGTCTTTAAAGATGCTATTCAGATTTCTTCTCTTTCTTTTTTGCATTATAGTGTTTCTTTAGAACAAATGAAATTTAGTAAACAGCTGATATAATTTATAAAACACTGATCCTGCCACCTGTAGATTTATACTGTTATGTTTGAAGTCAAGTCCAAATTCTAAAAAGACTGTGAGTGTTGCTTATGTAATTTTACTTTTCTGTGAACTGTGGTAAATATATATGCTCAGTTTCTACGCCTTGTTTTAAGGATTGTAGCTCCTACATTTTATGTATATAGTTACTGACAGCCTGACCTGGGTAAAGCCTAGAGTAAGGTGGTTGCTGTAAACAGTAAGTTTACTATCAGGATTTTTTCATCTGCACCTCCTAATAATTTATTTGGACATTGCTTCTAATAAGTCTTCTAACTCCAGCATCATCTGTTCATTACCCCTACTACAATATTGTACGTTTATAACTTCTCTGATTTCAAAACTTTCATTAAGATATGTAGTAAGTAATTAGATTAATTCCTTGCCGATCTATGCAAGTATGTGTTAAATGCAGTTTCTGAAAGTGAAAGAAAACAAAACAAAGTAAGAAAACCAGAATTCTAGAATTTTGCTAACATAAGTGCTCATTGAAAAGAAAACAAACTAACAAGAGCTTTAAATGCACAAAATGCTGCCTCCTGTTTCATGGCTTGGGGACAATATGGAGAAAGAATTGGGTCAGCAAAATTAAACTGTTACTGGATAAGACAACTGTTACAGTTACCATTGCATTTGCCCCTAAAACTGCAAATTTGTGGCTTGTCTACACAATGTTCTTTTATGAATCTACTAAGGTGCCTGCCCCACATTTAGGTGAGAAAAGTTCAACAGAGCAAACTTTCTCTAAAAGGGTTGTGAGCGTTCATAGGATCAGCCACCTGAGAAGCACCTAGAGGTCATTAAGTCTACCCTTATGCTTCTAATTTGTTGGGAGTTTTTCCTTTGCTTCCGAACTGTCTGCCATACTTCCTGGGCTTGAGTGTGTTTTGCCCAGCATTACACAAAAGGAAAGCAATAGCTTTTAATGATAATTTATTAAGAGATTATGGACAATTCAGCAAGTTGCTCCAAAGCATTTCCAGATTGAAAATGCTGATAAGATGCATGCATATGTGTGTGTGTATGTATGCATATATGTATATATTTAGCATGCATGTGTATTTCTGAAAAGAAACAGGTTTACATACTTTTCAGAATTTTGTATTGTGGATATAAATTATAGATTATAGCAGTAACTGCAGAATAAATCTAATTTTGACAGGTCAAAATCCTTGATTTGATACTTTGTTATAGATTATGACTTTTGTAAAAAGCTGTTTGAATGTGGCAGCTACATGGACACACTGGGAGGTGTTGGAAATGAGCTGAGTAAAAAATGTAAAATATTGAGAGTAAGCTAAGCTGTAATTATGCAAGCCCAGATCTACACTCCTTTTCCACAGAAGTCTCTCGATGTTCACTTGTAAGGTCTGGGTAGCCATCTGCTTTGCTTTACTATTTTCCGTGATTTCTAATAAGACCTCTGCCAGTATTGCTAGCACATGGACACACTGATGGCATTATACTATTTTTATCTTTTGAAAAGTTACAACCCCAAATAAAATTTGAATGATGCTACCTTAGCAACAAATGAAGTCAGTTGGCCCTATTATTAGGCCATCTCTCTGCAAAACCATCTCCTGTTCTTGAAGTTAAAAAGGCTTGGTTTTACCACTGCTTTACTGCCTTGTTGGTATCACACATCTCATCACTTACTGTGAAGTGAAATTATTCCCTGCCGCTTAAAAACTTGTCTAATCCCTTTTGACACTGCATGATAACATTGCCCAAGATACATTCTTTAGAGTTTAAATGATTCATAAAACGCTATGAATGAATTAATTATATAGTAATACAAAAATAACATCGTGATTTCCATGAAATGCTAGCACTCTTGAAGACGGTGATCCAGCAAATGACCTGTGAGTGAAGTTATAAAACTATTTAAAGAACTTTATAGCATTTCTGTGTCTTGACCTGGAGAATTTTTTTTCCCCTATAAATGTGCCAGTGTACAATTTCTTTTTCTTTATGGTGTCCATATATGTTTGATTACAGAGACTCAACCAAGTATAGTTTTATTTGTTCTTGTTGCAGGAAACAATCTAATAGGAGCAGTAGCAATAACATTGGTTTTGGGTGTTTTGATTTTGCAAGCTTACCTGAAATTCATTGTGATTATCATCCTAGCTCCACATCTTACAAGGAACTAGACAGCAGGCTGAGGTTTCTACACTGTTACTAGGTTAAAATAAAATCAGTGTGTGTTTTACTTCATCTTTGGGTGCTGTAGGTGTCTCCTCTCAGTACCCATCAGTGACACGTTTACTTAATGCCTGTTATAGGAAAAGGTAGTAATTGGCTTAGATCCCTTCCTCTACAAAAAACAAGAGATGGAGGGAGGGGAGAAAGCAAATCTGTGTGCTCCAACTTCTATTTGTTTTTACTACACACCTGACTTTAATGTTAATGTGTGTTAGTAAATGCACAGGCTGAATTCCTGTAGTATACTGCTGCCGTACCGTGTAGATAGGAGTACAGAACAACCATATGCAAACAAAAGCATAGAAGTGATTTGTAGGGAACATGAACTCAAAGAGCAGGGAAACTGAAGACACGTCAGTGATTGAAAGCTGTGATTTTAGAAATAGATTGTAACCAAGGATTGCTTTTATTGTTTTTTTCATTGAAGGTGATTTTGCAACTCCTCGAGCTATTTTGACAGGACATGACTATGAGATCACCTGTGCTACCATTTGTGCTGAACTTGGCCTGGTAATAAGTGGTTCAAAAGGTAAGGTAGCTGTTGTCATTTCTTTCTGTTCATGAAGCTATAATCCTAAAGCAAAAAGGTATATAGTCTCAGGTGGCAGAATTTATTAACTTTATGATTGTTTTATTTCTAACCTTGTTTTAGTCGCTGTGGAATTTGAAACCTCTTTTTAAATGTGCTAAAACTGAAGATTATTCAGACATTAACAAGAGGCAACTGGTTTTCAGATCAGTTTCAACATCATTTCCCTATTACAGCCTGCTTATTGCTGTCTTTTTGTTTGTTTATCCAGCAAGGAATTGCGTACAGCATGCAGTTGGGTACAGCTCTTGACTTCCAGGATGGTGAAGAATGTTTGCTAGGGGTAACTTCTCAGAAAGGGGAGCACAAATTAGTTCCAGGAGAAGGAGAATGTGCTGTCTTGTTTGATGAAGGGTATATATAAACTACTAACTAAACCTCGTAGTAATTCTGTTCTGGCTCTTTGAGCTTAGCTACAAAGCCTGTAATCGCCCCATTTGTGTTGGCAGACAAATTATAAAGAATGGCATTGATTCCATGGATATTGTTTATCCTTTTCCTATTCGTGGGTCCACACTGGAAATTTCTTAGAATTAGGATCTTTCTGCTTTAGTGTTGCCAAAGCACCTACTTTGAGACACCTTTTCAAAGTTGGGTGTACTCACCTTATGCACCTCTGTGTGTTACTGTTTTATGCGTGTGAATGTTTGTGGCTTACATGCAAATCAGGTATTTGTCCAAATATATTAAACCCCAAATATTTAGTGGATCACGTATGGGTTAAAATCTGAATGTGAGAATATACACTTTTACAGTACCTAGGCATGTAAATTCATTGCACTTAGCTCTGTGTGTGTGTTCGTAGTTTGAAAATCTCATTTTAGGATTCAGTACATTTATTTTTGTGCTCTCAAAGTTCATTACTACCAGTTTTAAAAGAAAATCCACAAAAGAAAATCTGTTAGGTCTCTAACTAACTTTGATAGGTGCTCTAAAATACCTTAGTACCAAGCTTTTAAGGGATAAGCTGTTTGTTTTACTCTCTAGCACCCTTAAATTCATAGACTTTCCACTTAAAGATGGTAAAAATCATTATAATGTATTATAATATGATTACCTAAGTAGAAGTCATTACTTACCATTTGATATATGAAGTCTTTAAATGAGCATGTAAATCAATAACCAGAGATTTTTATTCTGTCTCATTAGAAGGACCATGTCTCATACATTCTATGAATGGAGATCTACTGAGGACACTAGAAGGTCCTGAAACATTAGAAGGTCCTGAAAACTGCCTGAGACCGAAACTTATTCAAGCTTCAAGGGAAGGCCACTGTGTCATATATTATGAAAATGGCCTATTCTGTGTATTCAGTGTGAATGGGAGACTTCAAGCCACTATGGAAACAGATGACAAGATAAAGGTGAGTGTACTCAGATGTGTGCTGAGGACTCGTAGTTCCAGCATCAGGAGAAGCTGTTAGTGTTGGAGTCGTGTGGAGACTCTCTCTGTAGTCAGGTCATAGAAATACATAGTACTAGACCAAAACAGCAGCATTCTGAAAAAATTGTAGTTATGGGGACCATGTACTCCTAATAGTACTGGTTTGATCTTAGAATAGCTCCGTTTGCATAGTAAGGAATATCCTGTAGACAATTCCTTGAACTGAAGAATGCAAATATTACTGATTGCTGACCAGGAGAAGCCAGGCTATTTCTTTACTTTTGAGTCCAGACGCAGGAGGTCGTTGGACATGCGGTTTGAATGCTGGCTTTACCTTTTTTGGCATCTCTGTCTACATTCCTTCATCTTTGCTTGAGATAGTGTGTGTTTTGCTGAGCTTCAGGAAGTTTATAGGTACGTGTCTATATTTCAGCTCTTTAGCCCTTTGCATTTGCTGAGCAGGCAGCTAGATTCCACATCTTTAGCTGCAAGAGACATGGAGCAAGTCCAAAACTATGCAGGAGGCATTTTAAGCTTATGATTTTATGGAAATTATTCAATCATACAAAATGCAGATCTTTTGACAGTTCCTATGAAATAGTACCTATGAAGCAGAGCAGAACCTGCCAGCCATACTGCAGTGAAGCAGAAATGTCAAAAGAACACTTCCCTTGAGTTAAAAATATTCTCATATTTTCCTTGAATGTGAAAGAAAGGGAAAGGGAAGGAATGGAAGGGCAGGGAAGAAAAAAGAAAAGCATTACCAGATCTAGTAGAAAGTTAAGGAATGCAGCAGAGACATGAACCAAGATCACATTGCTGGGTCAGCATTCAGGCTACCTGAATTGTATGAAATTATGGCCTCCATGCCAGTATTCGCGGTCTGAGGGGCACAGAATTAGAGAATGGTTGAGATTGGAAGGGACCTCTGAAGATCGGCAGCTCCAGCCCGCCTGTTCAAGCATGGCCATCTAGACCCGTTTGTCCAGGACCACATCCAGACAGCTTTTCACTATCTCCAAGGATGGAGACTCTGCAGCCTCTCTGGGCAGCCTGTGCAAGTGCTTAGTCATCCTCACAGTAAAGAAGTGTTTCCTGTACAAAACTACTTAACTGTTTACCATCAGCAAGAGGAGACTTTTGTTGTTGTAAGTGTATAGCAGTACTACACTTCCAACCTGACTTTCATCATCTGATGGAGGAGCCCAGCCACTCAGCTGCTGGGATATATCCAGTGTTCTTTTCAGCTCAAAACTCTTGAAAGCTTCTCCTTTATTTGGATTAGATGTTTCAGGAAGAAAATGCCTCTTCGCCCTCATGTTTGGTTTACAGAATTATTGAAATTCTTTCAGATGCTGTGTAAAATTCTAAGCATTTTTAAGTTTACGCCTGACCTTCTCTTGACTCTATTCGTGTTAATTCTAAAGATGGAAGATGTGTCAATATATTTGAACAAATTTTGATCTTCATTATTTCCGTTTTAGGTCTTACATTGAACAGTGAATGCCTGTTACCACTCAAGTCTCCTGTGTAGTTCAGGGCATTCCAATTAAACCCTTCTAAAACTCTGTCATGGACTATATACTCTGTTAATGCAGCATCCCTGTTTCTCCTGAATATAATTCTATGATTCAAAATGGAAAAATGGTTGGGGGTGGAATATGCAGAAATAACTCTCTGTGCAGGTCTCTTTTCCATAGTGAGAGTGCTGTCTGCAGGGGTGAGAGGCCATTAGATCTTTGGATGCCGTGGCAGCCATCAGTGCAGTTTTGAGGCTGGGGAAATGAAGTAGGAGTGTGTATATTTCTGTCCCAAGCCATTTTTCCAAATCAGTGTAGATTCTTGCTTCAATATTTTAATCTTTCTTCAATTCTCTGAAATCGCACCTTTGGCTCTCCTTGTACAAATGGTTTTGAGATTTTCAGCCTGCCTTTCATCCCGGTTCTTTCCATAAAGCAAGTGCGTATCACAGTGTTTTCTCTTTTTACAATAATAATGTTGATAATCTGTCACTTTCAGATGTGATTATGTTGTCAGCTAGGCCAACAAATCTGTAAAATATCTAGAAATCCCTTGCTGGCTTAAACAATTTCTGTAGTGTTTCAGTCAGTACCCACAGCTTTAGGAATGTTGCTAGAGGCAATGGAAGTTCCGCTCTCTGTGGGCCAGAATTACATATGTACAGGAGTTTGGGGTTTATTTTGTTTTGTTTTCTTTCTCTCCCAGTGGTCCCAGTTGGGCTTTATGCTTAAACAACGTACAGCGTCTTTCCCAGTGCTTCTGCACTATATCATGTTAGAAGGCAAGTGGCAACTGCATGATTAAAGTGGGGGCATTTAAAATGAATCATACCTACCTACCCATGGGCTGTGCTGACAAACACTTTTCGTTGGGTTTTGTTCGAGGAGGATAGAAAAGGGAAGGAAAAGGTCGTTAACTGTTGAATCTGTAATGTAAAATTCCAGTTTCTATCTTCCTGTGGTCTTAAGCATTGAATCTGTAATGTTACATTTTAGTTTCTGTTTTCCTGTGTGGATATGGACCAGTACTTCAGAACATTATTGACAAAACTAGCAGCATTCGCTAGTGATGTTTGGAACAACATTCTGATTTTTTCTTGTATTCTTGTGCTAGAAAACTGCTAGAAAAATTTCAGACGCTCTGGGGAAATTCAAAGTCTAATCAATGCCTTCCACCTGTTTTTGTTTTAAATACTGTATTGCTCAGTGGAGCTTGGGCGTATCGCAGTACATCTACCACGTAATGTTTAGATATCTTAATGAATAAGTTAACTCTAAATAGTCTGCTTGTTCTGAGAAGTAAAGTTATTTTACCCTAAACAAAGACTGTATGCTGTTTCACCCAGAGGAACCAATTTATTTTCCTTTCCTGAGTCTGTTTTGAAATGTGGAAGTGCCCAGAAGACTCCTGCTGCTGTAAGCCCAGGCTGTCACCGTGTCAGCTCTGCCTTTTTACAGAGCACTGCCTTTCAAAAATCTGAGATGTTAAAAGGGATTTGTGCAAAGTTTTGAGGCTTTCCAAGGAAATACAAGTCAGAAAGGCAGCTTTTAGAACATGGCTGAAATTGTGCGCTTTGGGGATTATTTGAGTGTCTGAAGCTCATGTTGTGAGAAAGATTAGCTGCTGAGTTGTTTCAGTTTCGTACCTACCAGAATCGTAGATAAACTACGCTGGGGAAAAGCAGAACAGTAAAATTGATTCACGTCGTCCTCTACACCAGTTGGAGTACTTGGGAGTAAAAGCATCCTTTAGTTTGTTGAATCTTGAAGGGCATGTCATGAAACTGAACTGTTGACAGGGTGACCTTTTCCTACCATTCATTCCTTCATTCATATATATGTATATGTGTAGGCAAGTGGCTGAGAAGTGTGGTAATAAACAATAAAAATAAATAAATCCAAACAATAAAAACAAATAAATCAGCATCTTGTCTTCATGACAAGCCACTGACTTAATAAAATTGCATAGTTATTAGTAAGGGTTCAAAGCCTATACTTCATTTAATCGAAAGATCACAAAACCCACTGCATTTTGCAGGTAGTGGAAGAGTTAAAGATTAATGGCTTTAATTTGCCTTTTAATATAGCATTTCTTCAGTAAAAGCCTCAAGAATAAAAATCAAGTGAACCATGACCATAAGGTTAATGGATTTTCATCAGCTGAATTTTATAAGTGTAGCAAATAATTATTTGTCACGGTCTTCATTGCAATTTGAAAATACCCTTAGGAGACTGACATTGCTATAGAGAAGAAAACCACCCCATATTGATTTTTGCTTCTGATGAATAATCTTTTTAATAATTGTGTGTGGTACATTAGATCTCATGATCGTCTACTCAGTGCACGCAAGTTCTAGATAATTTTCACAGTCTTGTCTCAGTTGGTTTTCTACTCCTTTCCTACTGGGTTACTCTACTTTTCTGAGAGGGTCTTTAAATGAGTTTTCAAGCTCCTTGGGGCTTTGCTTTGGGAGGTGCTTCGCCTGTTTTTGTAGGCTGGTAGAGACAATTTATGGTTGGAACATTTGTTTTGGGGGGGAGAAGCTTCAGCGCAGAATACTGATCTCTAACCTTGAATTCAATTTTGTATAGTTGGCTGTGATTGGAAAAAACCTCCACATACTCTGCTGTGTTGTCTCTAAATTCACATATGTGTGTTGTCATCTTCGTTCAAAACACAGCTGGAATAGCTTTATCATCTGTTTTGTTTCAGTGTTATAATATTTTGTTTACAGTGTATGCTTGTATTTCAATTACATTCATTTTAAAGGTATTGCATGAAATGAAGTTTTAGCAATGTGATTCATTGTGATTACTTGGGAGTTGTTGCAGTAAACACTCAAAATTTATAATATAACATCAAGTCTCTATCTTAAGTGTTCCACTTACATAATTTTAAAGATTATATTGGGCATCATAGTAATAGAGCACAGCAGTACAAAAAATACAGATGTGCAATATATCTGACTTCAATTACTGCTGTTCACGAAGCAGTATCTTATGTACACTGTATATTTTGGTTTCTAGGCTTGTCAGCAGTCTGTATAAACACTTTCATGTTGCATGAACATAGCGTTTTGTGTGTTAGTTTCGCTCATTTTTGTGGTGCATGCGCTATAAATTCTGTGTATTAAAAAGCAATTTCCTTTTCCTGAGGAATTTCAAATCACAGTAGGTTAAAAGTTTTGCATATTGGAATACTGTAGAAGCAGAGATTGCAAGTGCCAAAATACTTGCAGACTTCAGCAGAGAGAGATATGTTGGCAAGACTGTCTTCAGTTCTTTCTACTGCTTCCTAAGTTTAAATCTTTCAACTGGAATTATGCTTGCAGGTTATCATCTTGAGGCAATTTCCTTGCCTTCTAGTGACAGTGTTTTAGTTAACGTGGATCAGTCTGTTTGTAGAACATGTGTGTGTGGAATTTAAAAGCCAATGCTCTGAATATCCTCCATTCTTCCATTGTTTTGTTGAAAAGTTTTGTGGCTCCCTGCCTTGAGTCAGGGAGCTGAAATTTATCACGAGTTAATCCTGGTGTGAAGGATGTGTATTTTGTTGAAAAGCTGACCAAATTTAGCCAATTCACAAATCTCGGGTTAAATGCATTCAATAGATAATGCTCAGCATCGGCATTCTGTACTGAACATCTCTAGCCCAGGGATACAGGGTTTTTCTCTGCAGCCAATCCTCCCCTACAGTGAGGTGCACAACAGTGCCATAGCCAGAAACATGATGAGGTCATGGCGTTGTTGATGAGCCTGGATGAGCAGGGGGAATAGCTGGTGGGGAAGCAGAGGAGAAAGAAGAGCAGAATTGAGGATGGAACCAAGGACAGAAGGAAAGAGGTGTTTGCAGGAGTGAGAAGAACAGACAAGTAGAGATAGGGATAGAGAAACTTGTCAGAGGCTGGGAGAAGACAAGAAGAGGCAGAAAGCAGTGAGGCAAAAATAGGAACTGGAAGTAGGAGCAATGGAGTGAAGGATTAGGTAGGATCAGGAGTTTAATACTAGATAATAGTGCTTCATAGTAGCAATGTTCAGTATTTTCCTTTTGATAACAGCAAATCATCCAGCAAACAAGTAGCAAAAGTTGTTTCTCACCCTTCCGTGTGTTCAAATGAAGAGGATGATAGGCTGCTGCTGTGCTGAGTATTGTGTACAAAAATAAAAGTAGAGAGCAGAGAAGAGAAAAAGCTTCTGAAGTCAAGCTGGGCCGCGAAAGTCAGAAAGAGAACTGAGAATAGGCATCTGGAAACAGGAGGAGAGCATGGGAAAAGGTTTGGGCTTACAGGAGTTATTAGTAATGGTCCAAACAGTAGTTGTAAGCATCTCAGGTAACCGAGGAAAGTTGCTTCCAGGTACTTGGTACATATCATGATTTTTCCAGCAGCACACAAAAAATATCAAAATAGATTGAAGACTCCTGTTTCAAGAAGTCTCACTATGAAAACCAGTGATATCCCTTCTTTCTCCATGATGTGGATCCTAAGTAAAGATTTCAAATGTAGACTTGCCATCAGTCCCCATGGTGCGTGCAAAATCCGGGTATAAGCCATTGAATTTCTCACAGCCGGTTTCAGGATAGATGAGGAAAGGAAACCCCTATTAGAGGGGTGGATCATTGACTTATTCATCTGGAGCAGAAATCTCAAAATGCTGGTCTAAATTAATTCTAGTAATGTGTACAACATTTCAGTTCCCTCCATCACTCAGCCTTGTGCCAGAGAGAAAAGGAGGATAGCTTCTGCTAGGCTAGTATGAAGGGCCCCTGGGGCAGTGTCGGGTACTATATCTTAATCCCAGCGCTGCTGGATCTTGTAAATCTTGCTAATTAGAAGAGCAGATTTTTTTAGCTGACTTCATATTAGATGTTTGGAATATTGAATGAATCACAGGTAAAGTAAAACTCGACTAGTGACATCTAATGTATTAAAGAGATTGGCGCATAAAGCATTAATTCTGTTGCTGGGTGGAATAACGTAACAATAATATTGCTTCCCAAAAGCCTGTATTGATACTGAGTCTCCTCAAACATTCAGCTGTCAATATGAAACCCTTTATGAAAGTGAAAGAGGGGGAGGAAGAGCAACACACATTTGTCTGACCAATATCCATGTGGTTTCCCCCTAGGCAATTCAGCTGAGCCGAGATGGACAGTACCTGCTTACAGGTGGAGACAACGGAGTTGTCATGGTATGGCAGATGTGGGACCTCAAGCAGCTTTTTGCTTACCCAGGGTGTGATGCTGGAATCCGATCCATGGCCCTGTCGTATGACCAAAGGTTAGAGCAAAGCGCGGTCTTCACAAGAGTTTCGGAGAATATGTACCTACAGTTGGATTGTATTTCTGGTTTTCTTCTGATTCTGATTTTCTGTGGATCACAGATCCTGGTGATGATGTTGAGAATTCTGCACTTGCATCAATTTCTTTTGAACGTGTCGTATTTAGGGCAGATAATCTTTTTCAGGATTTCAGCTCTCGGGGGAATGAAGAGAGATTCAAGAAATCTGACTGTGGCGGACTTTCAAGATGGGTTGGGTTATTGACCTGTGCAAGTGCACAGTGTGGGTCACATGGAGGTGGAAGGTTACATATGTGCTTCTCCTGTTTCTTCTTTCACTTACAGAACAAATCCCATTCCTAATTCCAGACCCTTAAATCATAAATAGAACAGTTGGAATAGCTGCACAAGATTCCCTTCACACATCCATATTTTGCTAAAGCAAATATTAATTTTCATTTCTAGAAAAGTTATTTTATCCACATAAAACATGACCCTCCTTGAAGATTCCTTCTCCTGAAGGCGATCAGTCAACATTTTGACTGCATTTTATGTTTTCCACTGCAGCTTCACTTGCACACTTTTAGCTTGCAGGCTAGAGTTTTGTTTGCTTTCGTGCGTTTGCTTAGCAGAGTTCCTGTGTACTTTCCAAGCAGATTTGGCTCCTAAATCCCTTGGGACTGCCTACACTGTGCAGTACAGCTTATTGCTGAGAGTCAGCCTCCCACCTACTGCAGTCCATACTGATGTTTTAACATTTCTACCTGGACTACATTTCTAAAACTTACATCAAATGAATTTAAAAAAATCCAAACCAGCAAAATTTTTAGACTTCGGTGAAACATTCAACTTCTTGTTCAGCATAATTGGAGATTAGAGGCATTTTTGAAGAAACAGTTTTACATTAAGAAGCCCCTGCTGTTAAAAATACTTAAAAAGGTGGACTTACAGTGCTGAATTTTAGAGCTCTGAAATGTATAAAATTTTGCTTTTAGAGAATCTTCAAGCTGTAATGAATAGCATGTCAGAATAATCTTTGCATGCCAATAAACTGAAACTTAATATGGGCAATATTCTACAAATAAATTTATCAACGTGCTGAAGTTAGGAACCTGTTCACTTTCAGTTTAAAGATGCAGAAACTCAGAAGATTACTCAGACTGTTTTACTGAATACTTACTCAGTAATTACTTACAGTAATTTATTTGGAATGCACAAATGTATGTGTTTGAGCGACAGCGTGCAAAAAGATGTTTTAACCTAACAGAAAAACAATCAGAATGGTGCTTTCAAAAGGAAGTGGCATGAAAACATTGCCAAAATGCAATGTTTTGGTGATCTCATACTTAGTCTTTGTTTTGAAGGACAAATTGCAGCTTTTGACTCAGATTATTTTTTTTTTTAAATTCTGAGGTTTTTTTCCTAAAATGCCAGAATTTTTTACGTCCTTATACTTTTGATTTTTGTAAAACTTTAGAATGAAATAGTCGAAAAGACGACACAGAAACTTCTCTAATTGTCTGCTATGTCTGGGTCATGGCTTTTCAAACAGATCTAAATGATCTCTGGGGGTAGGCCAAGGGTAAGGAATTCAGAAAGAAAGAGTGCCTCAGTGGGAAAGCATGATGATTACTTTCAGGAAGTCCCAAACCAACCAAAGGTTCAGATTGCTTCCAAACCCAAACACTACCATTTCCAGCCAAAGGTCTCTGCCCACATCCAATTCCTTCACGTAGATCATGTGCTTAAATGGGAGAGGTGAAACTGAAACACTTCCCTAGCCTTCCTTCACCTTGCTGCTTCACCAGGGGTTCATCCCACTCCAGTACTCCCCAAAAACCAACCAAGCAAGCCAAGAAATAATCCCAGGAGGTCTGAAGTGGCCTTCCAGGTCAGTGATGCTGGTAAACAACTCTGTTGTCTAACTCTGAACTGTAGCTTCAGGCCGCCCATACACACTGGTGCATGGTGTTTTGTGTGTTTCCTGATCCATGAGTCTGCCAGAGCTGGTGCAGACGGCAGCTTTATTCCAACCCAGCTTGCTGGACTCCTTGGAAGCCCAGGATGTGACCCCCTAAAGCCTGACTTTACTGGCACGTGGAGCGCTTCCAGGTCCAGCTGTCTGCGCTGGGAGCTGGTCGTGGCCTCGGGTTGTGGCGCCTGTATTGACGTGACTCTTCGGCGTGTCGCCTCCTATCTGGATGCGAGGCAGTTCACTAATGGGTACGGTCTTGTGTTTTCCTTAGGTGTATAATGACTGGCATGGCATCTGGGAGCATCGTGGTTTTCTACAACGATTTCAATCGCTGGCACCATGAGTATCAAACCAGATACTGATCTCCACAGACCCCAGGGTTAGCACTGACACGGGCAGCTGTCGTCAGAAGGAAACTGAACACTGCCCGTCTCCCTTGGTGTCTTGCCATGACGTCGTTTCTTATAAATAGCTATATTACATCTGAATGTAACTTAAATTTGCTGGAAGAAACAACCTATTTTTTAAAGTTAATTGCTATTTTTGTAGACCTTGCTTGACTTTTTTCGGGGAAGGGCAAAGAAGCAGAAAAATGGCTGCTGGGTTCTGTAGTTAAAAATCTATATTTTTAGTCATATTGAGAAGTCTATTTTGATCCCTGTATGTAAAAGAAACCTAAAGTAAAGACGGTTAACTCGCATTCTAGTTATAATATGAAGAAACAGATTTTCCACCTGAAGCTTTATCTATAACCTTGAGGAATATATGATTTTAACAGAGTGGAACTGAATTACGACGTTTGGGCAATTTTGATCTGTGCTATCTGTACCACACTTCGTCTCGTACTTTTCCAAATGATTGTACTACATCAGCACTAAAGTTTCTGGGAATCAATGGTAATATTTAAACTAAGGTTAATGTAATTTTAAACTTTGCAGATCATTTCCATCAATGTTACTATTCAAGCATGTTTCTAGGCTTAGGCAATTAGTTCTTTTTTAGTTGTATGTTTTGTGCAGTTAAGAGAGAGAAATCAGGAATGGAGTTTGTGTTAGACCAGGTGTGAATCCTTCTAGTTTCTAGCTGGCACCTCCTTCAAAGCACACCAAAATGTGAGTTGTTCCTCAAAATCAGAAAGGCTATTTTGAAGAGGTTAAACTCAAATCAGAAACCTGCAGAGACAGGTAATTTTTAACAGGTGTGAGTACCAAAGCACACTTCTGCTGGTTGACTGCGAAAGCACTGAAAAGGCTGGCGTTCGCTGGTGCATGGCCTCTGCGCAGTCGCAGCGGCTCGGCACTGGCGGGTGACTTTCTTCTTTTCCCCAGAGCTAGCCCCTGCAGTACCCTAGCACATGCCATATTCCTTTCCTGCATATAGCAACAATGTCTTTTATATTTTGCTACCACCAAATCCATTCAGGTCCTGCCCAATCATACAAAATTACCTCTTTCTTTTAGGAAATGAAAACTAATTTATACTAAGGAACAATAAGTTATTTTGGTGTTGCACAAATCTACTTTTCTACAAGGTTGCTGTGCAGAAATCTGTGAAAATATTTGTGAAAAGAACTGTTCTTGTTTTGTAAGTCTGTATTGCATAAAAATCTTCTTTGTATGTTGTGACCTATATGAGTTGAAATTTACATTCCATATCTGTATCGATACATACGTTTCTCTAGCTGCCTACTAGAGCAGTTCCTGGGTTTTTCTAAGCATTTAACTACTGTCTCTTTCAGTAAAGATTTGGAATGAGAAAATTCAGTTTGAGTGAAGAAATTAAATAAAATTACGTTTGTAATTGAGAGCTTCAGTGGAGTACCGGGTTCTTGTGATTCAGCATATGCTTACAAGGCAGGGAATAGGTGCTACGGCGAATGCATTTAAAGTGCTCTCGGTGTTTATGCAGTGGTGACTTGTGTTTTCTGTGCTCTCTGCGTTTTTATACTGAGGTGGTTACGGTGGTGTCAGCAGAGTTACATTTCAGTTTTGTGTAGCCCAAGGATGATGTGATCAAGCGAAGGCTGTAGCTGTCATGTCTCTGGTAAGTGCGTGCCCAGTGCCTTGAGCAGTAGCATTTGTGTGCAAAACTCGGATTTCACTCTTCCTTAAGTTCAACAGCCTGCATAGTCTTGTATCAGGAGACTTGCAGGGGGAATTGGTATGTGCCTGAAGTGCAATTGGTAATTGCTTCAGGCCAGGGGTGGGTTTCCTAGGCAAGGTGGAGGGAGAAACTCCACAACAAAGGAAGAAAGGTGTATTCTGCCTGATGGAAATCCCGAAAGTCTTCTCTTTATGGTCTCCTGCTGACTTAGGAAACACTCTATTATTGATAGAAGTGATAGTTTCTGATCTTAGAGCCAAAATATTTTGGGGGGAGTTGATTTGGTAGATTGTTTTGATCACAAGATGCTTTCCCAAACTGAAAGCACAACTGTATCTGTTTTGCACATTCTGAGCGCTGCAGCCCTTCTGTGGAAAAGGACATCTCCACCCCCCGCTGCCTGCGAAGACCCCCCACTCTGGACTGCTCGGCTGGTGGCCTTGGTGAGTAGGACATACCCCTCCCTGTCCTGGTGAACAGACGTACCCCGGGCCCTGCCGTGGCAGAGCTTTGGCTGAACTAGTCCACGTCACGTTGTCTGGGATGAGGTGGCAAGAAAGGGTTAAATCTGCAACTCTTCAGATATTTGTTAGTCTGTTCAGGGCAGCACCTGGGTCAAATGGGTTGTCTGAAACCTGTTTAATCAGCAGGGCTCCTTATTAACCTGCAGCAGGGCCTTACCCAGCTGGTATTTGCAGAATATTCCTGAAGAGAGGGAGCAGAGTCCTCTGTTTCCTCAGGCTTCCAAAGGAAGCCTCATTTTTTCACGCGAGAGTCTGGGCTTTCTCCTGATACGGTAAGTAACATGGACACGGTGTTAGGTGTGGTTTAGGGCAGGTGCTCTGGGAAGCAGTGCTGCAAGTTTGGTTTGCGGGGAGATACTTAGAGCAGGGAGCTTGAAATCCCTCCTGTTCTGTGAAAATTGCTGACCTAAATGCGGTAGGATCTGGCAAGACATGGTCGTGTTGTCAGTGGTGGTTTCTCTGAAGGACGTTTGTGTTGCGGTGTTGGTGCAAGCAAAGGTAAACGAGCGCATTAATGCTGTCGAGAAGGCTTCTTCAGTTCTTGGCTGCGTTTGCTGCGTGTTACCAAAAAGCCTCTGCACCTGGAGAGTAAGGTGTATGTGGTTATTAGCTTGTGCTCCTGACTACTCCTGGTAGTCCTCGCTTACCCGCAGCTCTTTGTCTGTGCTAAAGGTTCCTGCTCTGCTGGTTTAGCAGTGAGCATAGTAAATGTCCAAAAGGGCGAATCCGCTCTAAGCCAGCGAGACCTTTCCCATACTGGGTTAGGATGTTTGTGTGGAGCTTGAGATGAGTCACTCACTCGGATTTCCCACATGATCCAACATGACACAAAATCCAAAACAGTTTACTTTCATGCAGAACCAATCTAAGGTCTTCAGGAAACTGGTACAGTTCATCATGCATGTTCCTGCTTCTGCATCATAATCTAAAGCTGCTCTTTAAAAGCTCTGGAACTGTAGGAAATAGTTGCTGGTTTTGTTTAGATGTATGGACATTCAGCTGCGGTTAGCCGAGCGCCCTGCAGTTCAAATAAACCAGTCTCATGGGGGCAAAAATGGGTCAAAACATACGAAACAAAGTTTGAAAAAATGAATTCTAACCTGTACCTGTAAACAGTCAATTTTTATGTTGCGACTTCTCATGGTAAAGAAGCATATTATTATAAAGAGTATGTAAGATATTGAACATTTTTTTTATAAATTACAGGAAATAGAACTACTTTCTTGTAAATGAATTGAGATAATCTCAGAAAGCATAGTCTGGAAACCAGAGAGATTTGTATATGTAGTGAAACCTGAAATTACATACAACTTCATATTTGCTAAGACAGAGTTTGAGACACAATTGTTTGCTGTTTTGTTCAAGTTCTTTTATTTCTTTTTCTTCCCTCATTGCTTTGGTCACTGTGTCTTGTGAGCTCTGACACGCAGAATGCTGTAGCGAGCACAACCGGGTCTAGCTGTGTGGTTAGCATTTGGTGTGTTCAGCCATCTACCATTCAGATAGATGACCTGCAGATCGCCCTTGCATTTTGCTTTTTGTCTTGTTTATCCTTCTTTAAGCAAGTACAGTAGCTGCAAAACAACACCTGAGCATTCTGAACAATAGCTACTCTCCTTTTAAGCAGATGTTTAAGCATTCAACGTTTAAACACTCTAAAAATTAAGTATCCCATGTTGATTGGCAAATATTACTCTGGGGGGAAGGGAATAGTTGCTGGTACTTGGTGAAGCTATGCTTCTCTGAATCCTCAGATTTATCTTAGGCAGTTCTCACTCTGGGCTGTTTTCCACATATGACTAAGGCACTTAAAATTCAAATGTTGTTTGAAACAAAGTCAAGACCAGAAGCAACAGCTGAGGACAGACTTCTTGGTGTGGATGGCTGTGTGGCAGCTTCTTCAGCCCCTGCCCTGCTTTGTTTTTTTTTATGATGCAAATTTAGTTTAAAAACTAAGTGGGGAGGGATATCAGAGATTTTCCCCTGACAGAAAATCTCAACTAGATACCAATTTGTGTGCATCAGACATTGGAACTGATTGCAGGAGGAGTGTTTGATTTGCTTGCCTTTTTGTAATCTTAAAAAAAAAAAAAAAGAGCTTTCTTTACCAGCATTGTGGATTGGTTACTAGTTTTGTGCGTTTCTGTGGCTTTCCAGTTGCTATTTGCATGCAGCTTGAAAGACATAATGAGTCAATGCAAAATTTCATTTCCCTTTTTAAAACTATTCAAACACAATTGATAAAAAGGTATATTTATATGAGAGTGAATAAATACTTCACAAATTTACTCTGTCAATCTGTAATAATTAGACCAGGAACTACTGGAGGGGGGAAGAAAGGTATGAAAACCAGGCTTAAACGAGAGACTTAGAATCAGAATTTCCTGCTTGCTGCATTGATTCAGCCTGAGGTGATCAAAGTGTAATTTCTGTGAATAGGAATTTGAGGCCCTTTTTGGTGAGCACACAGGCAGTGGTATAACAGGTTACTGCTCCCAGCTAATGTCTTTTCAAGTAGATAAGGAGAATGAGAGTCTTCTCACAAAGGCCAGCACTGTGATCCGTGTTGGGAAATCATGCACAGGATCTTGCTTCTGATCTCCTCGATGTATGCCAGGGTGCGGGAGTGTTACCTGCATCACCAGGGCCCTCCAAGAGGGAGGTGACGCGCGGTGTCTGGCACCCGCTCGCTGAGGGATGCCTGATCGCTTGTCGGGGTTTGGCAGCCTCTTTGGTGTACGCACGGGGTGATCTCTAGGTGTTGAGCAGGAAAATGGCACTGGATGTCACTTGTGGAAGTTGCCGTTGTTACCGTAGTCATCTCACTGCATACCTAAATCGTAGAACCTCTATTTTTGAGAGGTTGAGGAGGACTTGGAAGACCTGCTTCCTTGGAATTAAAAGACTGAACTTCCCTAGCTCAAGAAAACTTCACTAAGTCCAGTGCCCAGGGTGCACGCTGCTGTAGTGCAAAAGCCTGTGGTTTGGTTTGCTTTATTTAGGGGGACAAAAAAAAAATGGAGGAAAGGAAGGGAAAATTCAGAGCAAGAAATAGGTTAAAAATACT